AGTAGAATTTTAGCCAAATTAAAATAAAAAATTGTAAAAAACCAAACAATCATTCATGCATACCAAACCAAACAGATCAAGTGAAAATAAGAACAATAACAAAACAGAAAAAAAAAACTCTCACTGAATTCAACTTTTTTACCATTCATCATTATCATCGTCATCATTGTGCCCTTGCACCATCATCATCATCCTCGGCTATTATCATCATCTAAAATCACAAAGCCAATCATCATTTTTTTTTCTTCTTCATATATCTAGTGTGTATGCAATCATTATTGGGATGTTCATCACTATCAAATATATAATGAAACAACAACCACTTTGCTTTCTCTCTATCTTTTTCTCATTCAATGAATCTGTTGTTGTTTTGTTGTTATCGACTCTCACTCTTGCAAATATTCTATTATACAACTTTTTTTTATAATCAAAATACATTAATGATAATGTTGATGGATAATAATAACCGTAAAAAAAGGTAACCAACCAACCAACCAACAAACCAACCTGACTTGTTTTTTTTCTTTATTTAAAATTTTGGAGGGGGTACAAACACATATACACATAACTTGCAGAGACCAACAAAAAAACTGGTATCCATCATATTTTTTTTAATGTTGAAAAAAAATTTCTCTTGATTAAAATCAAATGAAAGAAACTGTACCCATTATGGTTTACCTTTAGTCCATCTCTCTCTTTCTACAATCCCTCTTATTCCCATTCTGTTTCATGGCGAACAAAAAAAACATGGTAATTTCTTTCAGTGATCGCGCCATCCATCCATCCATTTATAGTCACACACACAAAAAAAACGTAGTCAACCACTTAGTGAACCGGTTTCGCCAGTTTTTTTGCTTGGCAATGGACAATAATAAAAAAATTCATCACCTGGATAGTTTCTTTCGAGAAAGAGAAACAACAACAAAAAAAAAATCCTAAATGGCATGGTTGGATGGCTAAAATGATTAGTAATTTTTTTTTGTTGTTCTCCTCCTTATGAAGATCTTGTGAAGATGAAACAAGTGGTCAATACAATAGAAAAGTTTGGGGGATGGGAGGCCAAGAGAGAGAGAGAGAGAGAGAGAATCGGGCGACTCATTCATAATGATGCCCTTTTACTTTTTTCTGCTCTTTATCTACTACAAACTATTATATTCAACTACTATTGATCGATACCAAAATGCAATATTTACATTTCTATTTTCTGAAAGTACATCTTATATATATGATCAGCCAATCATGTCAAGTGTAATGTAATGTAAAACACAAACCAGATTTATTATTTGATGTTTTGGAATTTTATTCATTACAAAAACCAAATAAATGATTATTAACTCTAGAATATTTCCGATGAAAACTGAATAATCAAAAAAAAACACATGTTCATTTCGCCATCAATTAACGATACAGGTGTATGCTGTACAAAGCAAGACCAAAAAAAAAACATTTGTTTCAATCTTTGTGTAGAAATAAATTGAAACAATGATAGTCAAAAAAAAAAAGAAAAAATTCATGGATTTTTAAATATTAATTAAAACAAAGCTGATAATTAATATCTATTGGAATCAAACAAAACAAAAAATTGTTTGATTTGATTGATTATTATTGAAATAATAGGTATTTTTCTATTTCTCTCTTGCAAAAAAATAGCAAAATCAAATTGGTAAAATGTCCAAAGCAATAGTCATTTTTTCGAAAAAAAAGGTTTTATTAATGAATGGTCGTTGTTGTTGTTGTTGTTTTATTCAAACTTCGAAATGGTATCCAAAGCAACGAACATTGACGTCTAGATTTTAATAATAAATATCATGACAACACAGCACACAATACCTTGATAATATATATTGTTCTTTTGGTAAAGAATTTCGGGTACATTTTCATTTTGTCATCACATAAAAGACACGTGCTATTACGTATGGACTCTAGACGAATAAAATAAAAATACATTTTTAATGATTGATCCTCCTGGACGACCAGAAAAAAACCAAAACCAAACAAACCGGTAACCGAAAAAAAACTGGTCTCCTCTTGGTCACCATGGACATCGAAATCAATCCATTTAGAGGCAAACGACCAAAAAAAATTCTCCGTAACTACGACACCAAAAATGACAATACACAAAACCATTCTGTACATGTTTGTAAGGTTTTTTTAGTCTCAATTATTAACAAGAAAATTGGAAAAAAATTACCGTAAATTATAAACTACGATTAATAATTGAAAAAAAATCTTCTATGGTTTCGAATGGTTAATTCAAAAAAAAAGCAATCTTATCTTCAGATTTCTGTCTATGTTTTTTTTTCATTTCATCAAGATTAAAATTTCCAAACAAACTTTTTTTTTCTTGAAAATCAATGTAATCACATGTAACGCCACCTAAGAGCTATAATCACAATTAAAAGAAAATTCTTAATCACTAGATGGCAGAATCATCGAATCCTGATAATGATGATCAAGAATCAATTTTTGTGATAATGATGATTGCGGTGGGGATTCGATTAAGAGGGAAGACAAAGAATTAAAAAAGAATTAATTTAATCTCAAGACCCGAAAAATACATAATGTCCACACAAGGATTTTGTTTTTTTTTCGGCCAAGTAATTCCAATAACAACAGAAACAACAATCATAATCGATAATTATGGAGGTGACAGCTACAAACACAAAAACATAGAGAAACAAACTAACAGGGAGAAGGGAAAAAAATGAATTCATAAGAAATATTGGAACAAATCAAGATGGAAAAAACTAAATAATTCGATAAACATTCATTTATATGAAAGAGGCTTACATTACATAGCAACAACAACATCACATTGAATAATTGAGAATCCCAGATCAAAAAAAAAATCAAGTTAATTGAAAAAAGTTGTCAAAATATTAGTGCAAAAAAATATGAACATTTTTTTCCAGAATACAATGTATCACATCAAGTATATTAGAATCAAAATACCAAAAAAAACTATTAGATTTGAAATGATTCTTTTGAAACATGTGATGTTTGCATATCCAGAAAAAAAACTAAATGAGAGAAAGAAAAGCTTGAAATCATTTTGATGAATAAATTAAACAAATTCATCATTTCCGAACTGGATGTGAATAGTCCATTTTAAATTATAAGAATTCTTCAAGGTCCAACAACAAAATCTAATGATGAAAATCGATAATCGGTAAGCAATTGTCAGATTCAATGAAGATCTTTTTCGAAAAAGACGCAAGCGTAGCGCAAAGACCTAAGAAAAAAAAGGTCATCATCATTACGCGCACGCGATAACACAGGGGTTGTTGAATAAAATTTAAAAAAAAATGAGAGCGGGTTTAACCTTGGCCTAAACAAAACCAACGAAAACGAAAAAATTCAATATGGCCCTTTTGGACCCAAATCAATCACACCACACAATATTCATTCATCGGTTGTTGAGCTCAATTTTCATTCTTTCTCTCTCTCTCTCTTTGAACTTTCATTTGAATGCATTTGAGCAATGTCCTCAGCAAGGTCTTTACGGTCAAAAAAAAATGTCATAGATTGGTAAGGCAAAGACCAGATAAAGTAACGAAAGATTAGAAAAGGTAAACTCTATACACACTGTTTCGTTTGAAATAAATGTCAAATATTTTTAGTGACATGATCGCGTGTCGTTTTTATTTCGTTGATGGCATAGGAAAAAAACTGGTCAGTCAAATTGTTTGATCACAATTTAGAAGAAAAATCGTTTTTGTTTCAATTGCTGATCATGCTGTTCGTGTATTATGGCCAAGGTAATATTTTCAATAAGACCTCGTAAAGTTCTGTATTACACATTCAATAAGCAACAAAAAAAAAACTTATCTCCCCAAAATCTTGGGACTGGATTGTGAAGAGAAAGTATTTTTTTTTTCGCCTCTTTTTCTTGTGGTCAAATGTCATTGAATGTGTTGTAAATAATGTTGTTTGCATACACTGGCCACACTGATAATTCATTTTCTCAATCTTTGGTTCGAAATTTGTTTTTTCGTTTCTTCGTAAACAAAAAACGATTTTGGCTTCAAGGTGAAATTCAATTTTTTTTTATTATTCGGAATAAGACAAGAAAAAAAACGGTGGACGATTGGTGGTTGGTTGGTTCCTTGTTTATTGGTATACACATGCAAAACAAAAAAAAAACAACAAAATGAACGAACGAGTTACCCCTGAAGCATTTTTTTTTTTTTTTTTTAAAAGAAAAAAATGACCAATTCCAAGGAAACG